TTGCCTAACTTACCAGTGGGTAGTAGCAAATTTCTGTCCCTTAGCCCACTGACACCTTTTGCTTCCCCTAGCAAAGCCAGTCACATGTCAATGTTTGACCCCCTTCTCAGTTCTCCATAGAAAGTCTCAAATTCAAAAGGCTAGTAACCACTTCTTCCTTGACCTTCTGTTTTGCTGACTAAAGTTTAAATGAGCATATTAAAAATGAGACCTTAATGTACAAATAGGAAGGTCTTTCCCTTGTACCTATGTATGATAGCAACAAACACATAACAAATATGTTCTGTTCACCTTATTGGACCAAAGAAATGAGAAATAACCCTTTAAAGACATGTAAGTCTCTTAAATCTAATTTCTGGGTAATTAAAACCAGTGTAAAAATTAATAAACTCTTTTTCTATAGTATCTCTGTGCTCCTAGGTCACTGTGTGTAAAGATTCCAGATAAACTGAGAATATGCTGCTGTAATCAGCATAAGAGATGCAAGATTTTTTTTATAAGGAGGTTATAGCTTTTCATTAGACTAACTGATGTTACTTAAAAAAAAATTAGACACACTTGCCTGCACAGCACCCTTTTGGGTTTCCAATCTGTTGGTGTATTTATTGTCCTTGCCTTGATTTGAAAGTTTTGGTGAATCTTGCATAAATGTTGTAGCCCTTACAGGTGAGCTAGGTTGCCTTTTTTGGGCTAACACCTTGCTATGTAGCTTTTGGTTACCCTGCTTGTTGCATTAGCCTTTGGTGAACATAGACAAGCTGTACTCTGGTGGCCTTGGTGCACTTTGCTTCCTTTACCAGCATTCAGATGTGTCCTAGAGTCTAGATTTTGTGTTTCAAAAGAACAAAAAAAAAAAAAAAAAAAGTTGATTTAAGTACTGATGCTACTAAACCAAACTTTGGTCTAGTGAAGAATTCCTCAGGTCAGTTGCAGCTAAATAGATGTTTTTCAATTCTTGCTTTTTCTTCAACAGAACTTTATGAAAGAATTATATAAGACTAAGAGCTTGTTCATGTATTTCTTTTCTTGGCTATAGTTAAGAGAGTATTTAATCTTGGATTCTGTCCTGTGTTCAGTGAAACATTTTGGTTAATATATATGGGAAAAGATGTTTCATTTTGAGAATCAAGGCTATTGCTCAATAAAGTGTCTTATTGTCTTAAGTGGTTGTGCTATTTGTAGAGAATGTTTCTGAAATATTGGAAGAAATACGGAAATGGGATTATTGTGCTGTAAAAAGGAAAGAGTACATGAGCATTTGTCTGCTTAATCAGCCCTATCATTAAAACAGCTATGTCAGCATCCTTTTGTACTTGCTCCTTGGCTACAGCACTAGAGTAGGACATGCAGGATTTTCTCAGCTTTAGTAGCTGACCTTTAAAGCTATTAGAGTCACAGGTTTTAAAACTGGGACATGGACAGCCAGAGAAATATTCTAATAATCTGTGCACCCAGGCATATATATGAAAAGTCTATTTACCAACCATGAGACCATCTCTAAAGTTCTAATTTATAAAATTGTGTGGTGCTTGAGAAATGCTGTTGTAATGGAAGGATATTTCACTGCTGAATAGGTTTGAATGGGACCTGAGCAAGCTGTTCAGTGAGGAGTTCAGGGAAAGGAGAATGCTATGAAGGCCTTCACTCTCACCCCTCTTTCCAGAGCCAGGGAGAAGTCTGGAATCTTGGAGGGCAAATTAAAAAACAAAAACAAAACAAAAAACCAACCACACTCCAAAAAAGTACCAACAAAACGTCATTTGTGAAACCTAATGATGGCAGAAGAGACTGTAGGGAACAGAACCATCCTTACAGGAATGGTTGTGTTTCTCTGGTAAATCTATTAGGATCCTTACAGGACATCAGATGGGAACACATGTAATATCCAGTGCAGCTTTGTGTAGGACCTGTGTCCCCCAGTTTTCAGTGGGTTTGGGACATAACAAGTTAAAGTGGATACTGCCTGTAGTTAAGCTTCACCTCAGGAGCGATGAGACTACTCACCCTCTTGATCGTTAGTAGAGGGGGAAGCAGAAAGCAGAGAACCAATTGTTGAATAATTCTTGCCACTTATCTTTGGTGATTGCTTTTAAAAAGAAATGTTCTTTATAATGAAATTGTTACACAGCATTATAAGAAGTTCCTCTTGTGCTAGAGACAGACTGATGTGCACTAGACTAATAATGAATTGCATGTGAAAAATACTGCTTATGTGTTTGAAGCTTTGCCCCTGTAAATGCCCACTTCTGAGGTGTAGCAAATCTTATCTGGAATAGATGTAATAATCATTAATCTGTTTTTAGGGACCACAAACTGAAAACTTATGAAATGGCAATTGATAGGGAAATTGCTGATTATTGATACATTTTTCCATAGTTAGAGTTGAACTTTTTATTTGGTTTACTAAAATAAACAATGTAGGAGATAAATACCTATTAGAACTGTGAATTGAAGCTTTTAAACGTGCTGGAATTTAACAAGGCATAGAAAAATGCCACATGTGGTAATTACTGTAAGTTATGAATGTTATTTAAAAAAAAAAAAAGGGACTAGGCAAACTTGACAGAAAATCATTAACTATGAGAATGGTTTCAATATGTGCCAAGGACATGTTTGATTCACAAAGGGAAGATCCTGACCTGCTTGAGCTACATGGCTTTTCCAGCTGTTTAATCTTCACTTATGAAAATTAAAAGTTCGGGTTTTCTATATTAAGTATTTTGGGTTACTTTACATTGCTACTTTGATGTTAAAGGCTATCTGGCAAGAGGCCTTGAACGGTTTTGAACCCCAGCACTATGAACGACTAAAGACTATGACTGAGCATGAGCGAAAGTATTCTCGTGCTTGACTTGTCCACTAATGTCATCTCATAGAAAAGACACCACAAGCTTGGGAGTTAGCAGTGTTTATTCAGATGTAAATTCCAGTTGGTACAGCCTGTCTTTCTCAATTCTCAGTGGGTTTAAAATGTGCTGTCTGTATTAACCACAGAGTCAAAAAGTGGGAGTGTGTTGTCACAGTGGCTCTGCTCACACAGTTCAGCTCATGAAGGAGGTATAGTTTTGATTGCTGTGTCATATCAGGGACCAGTTCAGCTTTGCTGTCTACAAGAATACTAGATTTATTTTTTTTTTCTTTAAAAAAGGAAGGTCAGTCTGGGTAGAGCAGTAATGAATAGAATAATGAGCAGTGGCCTGACTTCTCACTATGAAAACTGAGAGGGCTGCAACTCCTTTGGCCTCTAGGTAAACTGTCTCCAAAACTATTTGGCTATCTAGTATGAAAATAAGTGAATAGATACTGTTAAATGAAGATGCTATTCTTAAAATGATAAGTAATTTTCATTCTGGAGTAAATAAGTTTTGCTGACTACCCAAGCAGGAATTGTGATTAGTAAGCTGCATTAGCTGCTTAAGCAGATAAAAATCTCAAGAGCTAATGATCTTGTTTTCATACAGATAGGGCTAATAAGAAAATCAAAGGAAGATAAACCCTGAGAAAGTGATGTAACACAGAGAGCAAGTTATGTCATGTTGAAACTAAAGTCTGAATAAACTGTTATCAGACTTTCCTGTGAACGAAACAGGGAGAAGAACCTATACATTGAGACACCCCAAGCTCCATACCTGTAACATGCTGGAGAGAGACCTGACTGGTTTTGGCAAAGAGAGTGTAATGGCTCTTTTTTCATTCCCTGCATAAAGAAAGCAGTGCTTTTTTCTCTCTCTTGGAGGCTGTCTTAGAGATGGCAGGGGCCAAACACCACCATTGACAGCAGGTGGGGTTTTGGATCTCTAGTTGCAACAAACAAGAGACTTCTCTTGGTTGGGTTCTCTTTAGTCTGAATCTAATATACCAAACTCCAGTTAAGTAATTTTTTCTCTCTTAGACTGATAAATTAGAGGTAAATTGTTTTCAATATTTATCACTACTAAATTCTATGAAACCAAAAAAGGTTTCCCAGGATCGTCTAGTTTAACCTCAACTAGTAAACAAAGTCTCCACACTCTTATTCAGAAATCTATGCTCATTATTCATCTGATCTCAATATCTTTTTCCAGAGTTATATCCCAGACACTTATTTGTCAGTGTAGCAAATACATTTCTCTTCTGTTAGTAACCTTCTTCTCATTGACAAATTTGCACTTTCATTTTAAGATTCATAATAAAAGCATCTGGGTTATACAGAACACTAAGGTGGGTGGCGATAGAAGTAACCACAAGTAATGTAATGTAACCTAGAAATTTCTTCTCTTGTAAATGAAACTCATATTCTGATCCACAATCGATGTGATTTTGAAAAGCGTATTAATGAGGAATTTATGAAATAGAGGTTATTTTCTTTCATAAAAAATAAGTATGTCATGCTGTTGTTTTCTGTGTTTATGATATGTAGCTGGGAAAGTCCCATTATTATTCCAGTGGGAGTCAATTGTCATGTAGGATTGATTTATTTTTTTTTTAATTGCTAAACACTGTTTTGCTCTTGAATAGAGTTAGGATCTTATTTCTCCATTTTAACTAGTTTGCACTATTTGGCTAAACATAGGAAGGATTAGTCTTTTCCTTCTTAGTATTTATTTATCAGTTATCTTTTTGGAATTGTTCAGAAATACGTGATAGAATTTTTATTTCAGTATATCTTTTTAGTGGATTTATGGTTTGATTTTGGTGGTCAGTTGAATGCACTTTAAGCTATGTCATCAGCAAATATTGTGTAGGTTTCTTCCATAAATGTGAATATATTAAGTGCTGGACTGCCAGTGTACAACTTGAAACAGAATTTGGATACTTTAATTTTGATGGGAAAACCCTCTATCTCCAGATTTTACCCTTTTTATATATTAATGTCTTATTTTTAAAGTACTGTATGTAATTATACTGTGAGGCATTTTGTCTTACTGTGGTTATACAGGTTGTTGAAAAATTGTGCAGGAACAAAAAACTGAGTGATGAAGTACAGTAGATATGCATGAATTATCCTCCTTCTTTCTTAGATATTTGGGCAATTGGCTGCATATTTGCTGAACTATTGACTTCAGAACCTATATTTCACTGTCGTCAGGAGGACATCAAAACAAGTAATCCTTTTCATCATGATCAGCTAGATCGCATTTTCAGTGTAATGGGATTCCCTGCAGGTAATTTATTTTCATTAAAGCATTAGGTGTTTCATTTTTTTCTAAAGGAAATGACTAGTTGTTTGTACAGCTATGAAGAAGCTGTCAGTTTGATGGATTTGGAAGTGCTGACAACTATGGAACAATAGCACTGGCCAACATGCAGAAAGTCAAACTGATGTAGTTATTTCTTCGGGTGTATTACTTAACCTACACTTTCAGAACTGTAAATGTTTCTTCTTTCCCTCCCTAAAGATAAAGATTGGGAAGACATAAGGAAGATGCCAGAATATCCAACTCTTCAGAAAGACTTTAGGAGAACAACGTAAGTGATAATGCAGCAACACTTCATTAAATATAGCAGATAGGCAGAAATTGGCTTCTATCCTATAACTTTTTGGGAAGGGGATTTTGGAGTGTTTGGGTTCTAACGCTGTGACGAGTGTCTTATTTGAATTGGCTGTTTCATTTGAATGGTGTTCTCTCCCTCAGCTACTTGTTAAAAGCATCAACTGAGTGGCCTCCTCATTTCTCTAGAAGGGGTTGTCATAACTGCCATTTTCATCTATGGCAGGGAGACACAGATGAGCTTGTTTACACAGTTTGTGTTAGTTGTTCAAGATAACTTCATTCATTCTGTTTGAGAAGAAACAGGGATGCACCTCCCTAGTCCTTTTGACCAGCAGATATGTGGAGGCAGTGAAGTGGTGGACAGACACTTCTGTGGCAGGTAGATGTTCCAACAGGTTGTGATGCAAAGCTTATCTGGGATCTGAGAATTTTCCGTTTCTACTGTTTCCTGGTGCTTTGACTGAATTAGTCAAGCAGTGGTGACATATAAGAGGGTGTAAGGATTAACACACTTTCTGCTGTAAAGCAGAGAGTTTTGGATTCTGTTTCCAGCTTTGCTGTGGATTCATTACATTTGCTTTTGAAAAGATATGAAGCTTATCTGTGCATGACACTCCTTTCTTTTGAAAATGAAAATACAGATAACCTCTGGATTTGTAGATTAAAGGCAAGGCACAGGTCATAGAAATTTGGGGCTTTTCTGAGCTTGGAAACTGAAGATTGTATGGTTTGCTGCAGGTTGGGGCCAGGGAGGTAGAATGGTAAACTAACTCCTCTGCCAAATTGCAACTGGAAACAGCCTAATAGGTTAGCTGTTATGCTGTATGCTTTCTGTGGCAGACCTGCTTTAGAAAACTAGAATGTAAACTTCAAGTTGAGTTTCTCTGTTGTATGCCCGTGTCAACAGCTCATCTATATGCTGTAAAAGTTGCATGTTCTGTGGAAATAATCTGCACACAGTTGATACTACTCCTGTTAACTCCTGTTAGTGAAAAGCATGCTTTATGTGTGCAACTGTTAGATAAACACCTGACAGCAGTTCTGATAGCAGTTCTTTTTACAGTTTACTTATTAAGGGCTGGTAAATGTTTTTGTGATTCCTTGGTACTGTTCCATATTCTTAATATTGTATTATTTCAGAAATGTTTTTATTTGACTGTATTTTTCAGATACGCCAATAGTAGCCTCATAAAATACATGGAGAAACACAAAGTCAAGCCTGACAGCAAAGTTTTTCTTTTGGTAGGTACAACTTGAAAATCACTGTGATGATAGGAATAAAATGTATTTCTAGAGCTAATATCTGTGTCTATTCTTCTATCTCATTCTAATGAACACCAAGGTTAAAGAAAACTATTTATTGCTAACAGGCCATTTTTGAAACATGTTTTCTTCATATACATTCATGCTGAGAGTGTGGTTAAACTGCTGGTTTTGAAGTTCCGAAGGTCTTACCTAATTAGTATCTTCAAGGCACTTGTATATATACAGCCTTACCCTTAGGTCTGCTGTGCAAATAGGATAGTGAGTATTACATATCCCTTGATTCCATGTTGTTTCAGAGAGGTAAAGATCTCCCAAGAACTAAAAGAGTTTTGTGAAGAAAGGGAAGAGGAAAGAAGAAATAATTTCCTTTAGTAATTTTTCTTTTTTTCTCTTCTTTTTCTTTCCTCTCATAATAGTCCACTTCTGTTCTGTGGGTTATTCCAAACAATATCTCTAAACATGTGTTTGCTGGTTACCTAGTTGAGTCATTCACTGTAGGTGAATACAGAGTAGTTGCTCTGTCTAATAGAGCATTATTTCTGGATGCTTCTGTGATTACGTAGTGCTTTCTAAATTTAGGAATGAAGTTCTAAGTGACTTTGCTAGAACTGTGAGCAGAGAGTCTCTGTAATGAAGCAGTTATTGTAGCTTGAGTTCTAGTGGTCTGATTTCATCACTAGTTACAGATCCAGCATACCAATCTTCTCTCTAGGTCCTGGCAAATATTTGCTCTTTGTCTTGTTAGTAGCTGCTGGAGGATGACACAAAGCTGTGGAAACAGAATAGGTTGGTCCCAAGTGGGTGGTAGGGAACTATTCTCATAAGTAATGTGGGAGTTCAAGAAAAAATAATCAAAATTTCTTAAACTCAACTTACTGGGCACACGTTGGAATCATCTAGAGAAAGAATATAATGGAAAAGATGACAGCTGTAAGAGACAATGTTAGTTAGCACTAACTAACAATGAGTTTTCCCCATGTTTTCATGCTAAAGGTGGAAGCCACCAAAAAGTTTGATAGAAAGGCAAAGAAACAAATGGGTTGATGTGAGCTTATATGGCTAATTCATCAAGGTGAGGTACACTAAGCTGAGAGTCATCTTGCATGGGTAGGCTACTTTTCCAGGAGGAAATATTAACCACATCTCAAAAGAAAGCTTAACTAACCATCTTTTGGCACCCTATGACATATTATACATGTTTATTTATATCTATCTATGTGTGTGTGTGTATATATATGTAAAAATATGTTGATCTCCCAAACCTGTGCCTAGGAATATCAGGGAACGTGGAGAACCTTTTTGAGTCCTCATTGCTGCAGTGAGGAGGTCCATGTACCTAAATTGTCACAGCCATGCTACACCTAAGAGGTTCAGTACCTGCCTTATCTTGTGACAGATCCTAAAAACCAGCAGATCTTGGGAGGAAAGGTGAGCATTGCTCTCCTAAATCAAGAGATCAGAAATGTCTGCTATATGAGCTTGAAGGTACATATATTCTGAAGCAGATTTCCTAAAACTCCTTGTGAATATCCAGAGTAATTATTTTATTTTTTGAGGTAACCTCCATCAAGCAGGCTGACCTCTGAAGACATCAACTTTGAGAAATTAATTCACACAGAATCACAGATGTTAGGGTTTGGGAGGGACCTCTGGAGATCAAGTCCAACCTGCCAGAGAAGGACTATCTAGTCTAGGGCAGGTCACACAGAAACACATCCAGGCAGGTCTTAAAAATCTCCAGGGATGTAGACTCCACAACCTCCCTGGGGAGCCTGTTCCAGTGCTCTGGAACCCTGACAGTAAAGAAGTTCTTCCTCATGTTGAGGTGGAACTTCTTTGCTCCAGCTTGTATCCATTGCCCCTTGTCCTATCACAGGGTACAAGTGAAAACAGGTTGCCCCTTTCTTCTTGCCAGCCAGCCCTCATATATTTATACACATTAATTAGATCCCCCCTTAATCTTCTCCAGACTAAAAAGCCCCAGTGTCTCTCAGCCTCTCCTCATATGGCAGGTGTTCCTGTCCCCCAGTTATCCTTGTAGCCTTTCACTGGACTCTCTTGAGTAGATCTCTGTCTCTCTTGAAATGGGGAGCTCAGAACTGGACACAATACTCCAGGTGAGGTATCACCAGGGCAGAGCAAAGGGGGAGCAGGACTTCCCTTCTTCTGCTGGACACACTTTTCTTGATGCACCCCCAGACACTATTGGCCCTCCTGGCCACAAGGGCACACTGCTGTCCCATGGCTCCAAGGTCCCCCTCCTTGGGGCTGCTCTCCAGCAGATCTCCTCCTAACCTGTACTGGTACATTTTATTACTCCTGCCCAGGTGCAGGACTCTGCACTTATTCTTGTTGGACCTCATTAGGTTCCTCTTGGCCCAGCTCTCCAGTCTGTCCAAATCTTGTTGAGTGGCTGCACAACCTCCAGCTGTATCAGCCAAACCTCCCAGTTTCGTGTCATCAGCAAACTTGCTGAGCAGACACTCTATAGCATCATCTAGGTCGTTAAAGAAGATGTTGAACAGGGCTGGACCCAGTCCTGATCCCTGGGGGACTCCACTAGTTACACCTCTCCAGCTGGACTTTGCACCATTGAGCACTGCTCTTTGGGCTCTGTTGTGTAGCCAGTTCAACCCACCTCACTGCCTCTATCCACTGTTCCTCTATCTCATATTTTCTAAGCTTGCTAGAAAATACTGGTCAAGGCTTCGTGCTAATGCCACAGTAAGTGTGGCACACAGAGAAAACATGGCACCAAGTAAACCAGTTCAGGACAGCAAGTGACTCTTGACAAATAGGAGGATATTGTGTCACTTTGCTGATTGACACTGAATAGTAATATCTATGAAGGGCAGAATGTTTCTTTCCATCCAGGAAGAGGCATCTGTTCTTGCTGTCCTGGAAGTTACAAGCCTTAGTATTTATAACTGTTGTGTCAAGCCAGTAGAGCCTGACAGCAAGCAATCTTTAGAGCTGCTGTATGAGATTGTTGATGATGTCCAGTCTCACAGGCTTTATATATTGTGTTAGCAGCTACTCCCCTGAAAACAAATTATGTCCAGACATTTTTTTTATTCACTTTCCTGAAAAGCAACAGAAGCTACAGAAAACTAGACTTTGTCAAAGAAAGTTGATTCACAGTAGCATCACTGATAGGCAGGATATCTCACTAGACTTTGTTGTGTGTGGTGTCACCTGGAATTGGCAAACTGATATATGCTCAGGGCTGGAGAGGTTTACTAAGGGAATGAACAGATCATTCAAAAGGCACAAGATATCTTCTGCTGTGGTACATTAGCCTTATCTTTGAATGACAAAGAATACAGGTCATGTTTGTAGGCAGCTTGTGATGATGGTGCTGTGTGGCAGAAAACTGGAGGAGCTTTCTCTTCAGTAATACTCCAGCAGCCAGTCCTGAGGAAGAAGTCCAGGGCCCAAAGGCTGATGTCCTGTACTCTTCTGTCAATGATGGCATCTGCTACGAAAGACCAGGAAGGTCCTTATACAGAACATGAGTGTTTGTCCCAATGGTCACTGCAGAGGAGCTGGGAAAAGAAATTTGTACCTGTAATGGTGTCACAAGCCATTAAAACTGACAAAAATTTTGCATGTAAGGAGAAGTCATGATTTGAAATAAAGATACTGATACCATAAAATATATATTTATTATATTTATTTATGGCATCACGTGAGGTCACCATGTCGAGAGTCAACAGCATATTGGAAGTTGAATTTAAGATACACAGGAAACAGGGGTAAAGGTTATTTGACAAAACAAACCACAATAAGTAAGTAAGTATGCTGTGCAAACTCTGTGGGTGTGTGCAGTTCGGGACCATCTTGAAGTGTATATTTGGACAAGCAGCAAAAACAATTCAGGAGCTGGTGGCAAATGAACTAATAGGTGGAGAGACAGCCCAAAAGGCTCTTTGTTGTGTTGTCAGTCTGTTGATGTCCACGGCCCATGAAGTATGGGAATAAGGAGAGGTAAGAAGGAAGTGGCAAAAGCACAGAGGTTTTCTGTAAGACCTAATCTACAAAGTAAGGTTAACTACAACTGTTGAGAAAGGAAATGGAGGGCATTATCTTCCTTTATAAGGATGAGTGCTTTTGCTGAGGCTGTTCACCATATATATAGAATATAGAATTGTATTTTTATTTATTGGAACAAAAAGCCTCAAGCACCCACGTGAAAATCACTTTCTTTTGCTGAATATCCAGGGAATTTTTGTCAGAGGCCTTGAAGATAGAGTTAGAACTTAGATGCCATTTGCAGAAGGAATTTCATTTTCATTGTTGACTTGAAATAAAGTATTGTATGAGAGCAGGATACTGTATGATGTAATTTGAGCACCCAAATTGCATTCTGTGAGTTTATGAGAATGTGATAAATAAATATCTATTTAAAATGGTATGTTATCCCTTTAATTCCTGGTTTATACTACTAATATATTGTAATCCTCTTTTATAGCCTGCTGCAGTCAACAGTATTCTGGTTAATAAATTTATTACTGCTTTCCTCCTAGCAAAGAAGAAAGGTTACTAGGAAGGGTCTTCTCCTCATTCTCAATTTCAGTATTCATTAAAGCGGGATTTGGATCAGCTTGAGTGGCAGTGCTCTGACTCTGGAATCTCACCAGTGCCAGAAACAAATATTTATTGTTTCTATCCCTAAAGTGACCACACTACAGAGAGTGCTGGTCATGTTCAGTCTCTTCTGACACTCTTTTCCTGTTGTGTCAGCAGTACAGAACAGTATAAAAGCTATGTGTGTGCCACAAAAAAATGCCCTTATTTAAAAACAATAGTTTATGACCCTGTAATAGCTGAATTTAGTGTTGCTTTAACACAGTGGTTCAGCCTTAGCAATTAATATTGCCTGATACACTTAACTGTGTTTTCCTACTTGAAAAGTGCTTCACAACCATAGTGCTTTGGTGGATGTTCATTCTAGTTCTTGGGAGCCTCACTGAACAAGCAATGCTAGCTTAGGCTTGTCTGCACAAGCCACAAACAATCCACAACACGTAAGTCATAGTTTGAAAAATGATAGTTTGGTAAGCTTTTTGCTATTTTTTGTTATGCTCTGCAGCTTCAGAAGCTTCTTACTATGGACCCTACAAAGAGAATTACCTCAGAGCAGGCTTTGCAGGACCCCTACTTTCAAGAGGATCCTCTGCCTACATCAGAGTATGTATTCATTCCTCTGTGTTCTTCAGGGGTGTCTTCTTTCTGCTAAATACTAGTCCCTGAAATGAGATGACAGCTGGAAAGATCACAGCTATCTACCTATATCCACAGGAAGTAGTGGCTCTAGCATACTCTGTAGGAACCATTAGTGTAGTAATGAAGTGTCTGTACCTACTGATGCCAGAACCAAGTGGTCATGGACAGTAACCCAGTACTGCACTAGCCTTGTGATTTGGAATGTACTCCTAAAGCTGATGTGACCATATTGTTGCAGTATTTAGGGAATTAATCTGTGCTTGTTCTTTTCTGCCTTACGCAGCCTTTGCAGAGCCCCGTTCTCCGTCGCCTGGTTTCACTGTGCTTCTCACTAGGACAGTTCTCTGAACTACAGCCCCTTCTCATGCCTTCTTGCACAGGGTGACAGTATGAGGAGAGAAAAGAGAAGAGGTCAATGCCTGCCTGAAATCCCACAGGTCCCTTGTTCAGAAGGCTTGAGAGTAGTTTTTATATATTTTATTGTCCTGAAAAATTCAAATGATGCGTGCAGTTCCTACCGGCAAACTTTCCTCTTCCAGTTTCTCTTCCCAGTTTACAGAAGCATGGTGGTTCATAGCATTAAGATCTCTAGGAGGTGGGTGCAGGGAGACATCCACCATTGTTTTCATTGCTTCCTCAGCTAGCAGGCAACTCTAAAAGGATGAAACAGCCATTGGAGTGCAAAAGGAGCCTCGCTGAGACTAGCTGGATGGTTTTTTTCTTTCTTCTTTTTCTGTTTGGATAAGCCAAATGCTACATAGCAACTAGATTAGGAACTTTTACACACTTTAAAAATCATGTCAAATTAATTGTATTCTGGATAATGGCACAGAAATTAAGTAACTGATACTGGTTCAAGATCTACCAGTAATTTTCTATTTAGTGTTTATCTGATAATGTCCTTTGTAGAGCTATAGCTCCCCATGGATTACAGGATAACATTATGATAAAGTCTCTGCCATACACATTAAGGAATATTCCAAATCCCATTAGCCAGCTGAATTTAAAAGCCATCTTCTTTTCTGTAAACTAGATCTGAGAAGCTGAATGAGAGTAACTGTGCGGTTGTGATTGGCAAATATACTTAGGCCTGCTGTAAGCCAAGGTAGGCTCATAAGACATTAATGCTCTTTGGATCAGGCCCTTTATTCTGCGAGCCATGCATGTTCCAACTAGGTGTTGTGGAACCTCTGACACTCTGTTCATTTTGCCACCTGGATCAATAAGTGGTCGTTCTGGCATTTGGGCGTGCTCAACCATGCTGTGATTTCTAAATGATGGCCTCATGCCAATAGCAAAGAAATCTGACATGTTCAGCACCTAGCTGCTGCTATCTGAAGTACTCACAGTGCCACTCATGGAAACAGGACTCATGAAATATAAGGAATTAAATTGTGTTATATTAACTTGGTTTTAATAGAGCATTAAGTAAATGTATGTCATATGTACATGTTTGTGGACTATTTATTGTTTACTGCATTTCAGTGTATTTGCTGGCTGTCAGATTCCATATCCTAAAAGAGAATTCCTCAATGAAGATGAACCTGAAGAGAAAGGGGATAAGGTATGATGAACTCCTTTTATTTTAAGTGTGCAATAAGAAAGAGTCATGGTGCTACCAAATGAAAATTAATGAAACATGAAGAATCACACAGAATCACAGAATGTTAGGGGTTGGAAGGGACCCCCAGAGATCATCGAGTCCAACCCCCCTGCCAGAGCAGGACCATCTAGTCTAGGGCAGGTCACACAGGAACGCATCCAGACGGGTCTTAAAGATCTCCAAGGAAGGAGACTCCACAACCTCTCTGGGGAGCCTGTTCCAGTTAACTAAAAAATTAGACAAAGCTCTCTTTAAACTGCTTCCTAGACAGATGAAAAGTATGAGATGTCTTCGGGTTGTCTCAGGTGGTATCAGCACAGTTTGCCCTGACCTTTGGGACATTAGCTGGATGGATTGTTCTGTCAGCAGTAGCCTGCTTTCAGCTGCCATAACTCCAAGAGGACTTTGCTACCTTCTCCTGCACTGCATGTTGGAAATACATAGTGATCGCACAAAGAGAATGGCATTTCCATTGTATGACTGGCAGACATCCAGCCATTTGAAAGTAGATGGCTGTCAGGGTCTCAAATAAATAGTGGCAGCCTGCTTCTGGCACTATATCAGAACATTTCATCCATCTGCACACAGTTTCCTGATGGTGTTTTAAGGGCTCTCAGACAAAGGAGCATAAACAGTTCTGGTAGCAACAATCTGCTTTGAGTACTCTTTTTGAGTACTCTTTTCCATAGCACTGACATGGGCAAGAACTTGTTTGTGTGCATAGTAAATTTTGGTCTGTTTGCAACATAATCTGACCTGCATTGTGCGTGTAGCTCAGCTCTGCTACGTGACTGCAGTGGTTGTCCCATCGTGCTGTGAAGGGTAGGCAATGGTGCTGTAGTGTGTGAAACAGCTTGTTACTTTAGCTTGAAGAAGTGTACAGAGAGATACCAACAGTAATGTATAGCTAGCAAAATGTGACAAGAAGAGCCTTAAACTGTAATTAGCTGGGGGCTACCTGAGAAGGATTGTTACTCTTTTGGAGAAACCATTTGACTATATTGCATATTCTGGTTTTGGATTCTGTGTAGCATGAGAAACTAGCTGAGTTTAAAATATCCTGTCACAATACATTTCAGATGGCAAATTTATTTTCAGAACAGATATGATATACTCTTCTGTAGGAAGAACAAGTCGTAACATCCTAGATTTTTGTGTCCAGGTAGTTCTTTCAAAAAGAGGAGACAGACACCTAAAAATACAGTGGCAGTAAGGATACTGGTTTGATTGTAATTTAGTCACTAGCTTTGCCTCCACTCTCACAGCTTCAAAAAGAACAAACCTTGTGAATTAAAAGTACTCTGGCTTTTGTGAAGTCAGTGTACTTAAAAGTAAATACCTGTCTTTTTCTTGGGAGTGTTGAGGGGTGAAACAATGGCATGTTTATATTCAAAACAGCCATTATATAAATGGTCTTTGAGATTGTTTGTGACAGTCATGTATTTCTGCATGCTCCAATTTAAACTTTTTTCAGACCATTTAGGTAATATAGCTCACACATTACTCATTGACTGTGTTCCTACAGTGTAGAAAATGTGAAGATAAAGGATATTCTGAAAGTTGGTTCTGTGCCATGTTTTGTTTCTTTGTGATATCATTGCAAGTGAAAGGATATTTCCTTTATAGTGTTAGTTTCTGTTGTTTTATTCTGGTTGTTTTGGTGGTGGGTGGTTTGTTTTTTTTTTTTAACTATAAATATCAGTATGGTCCTTTGGGAACCTAGAAGAGTTCTCTGTCTTTGTTTATTTGCAACTTGAATCTGAATTGAAGAACCTTAACAGAATCATCCAGTTCATTGAAACAGTTAATCATTAGACAACAAAGCTAAAATGAGTCTTTGTAAAGCAAACCTGAAAGATTATTTTCTCATTCAAATTCTGTAAGGCAAGTTTCTGCTAGGTTGTTTATAGGTAGGACTGGAATTTCATTTTATTAATTTGTGCCTAGAGAGGTGACCTGTGCTAACTGTAGACCTTTTACAAGTTTATTCATTTAGGAACCACCATAAACTAGACTGCCTTGGGGACAATATTTTTTGCTGGCATAAGCTGGTTTTGTGTGCCAAAGTGGTGCAGCTAGACCCCAGCCCAAGTCTGACAGAGTAGATCTGTCTCAACCCAGGCAGCAGCAGTAGTAACTGCACAGGAGAGGAAGCTCAGACTAGTCAGGTGAATTTTGTGCTAATATCCAAAGCACAAAACATGGGACCTATGACAACCCGTTGTCTTTCATGGTGAGAGTTCCTGCAATACTTGTTTACGCATAACAAAATCGCCATTTTTCCAGCTCTAACAGTAGCAATCACCTCACTTGCATCCAAACACCACTATGAAAACACAAATTTCAGAATTCTAGCACAAATGCCGCCTTAGTTATTGGTGTTTGTGTAAGCAAAGCTCAACCCATTATGTAAAGATAAATTGCTTCTTAACAATTGCTTGGGTTTTTTTTACAAGCTAGCTTGATTAACTTTTTAAATTATCGACATTTAAATCTCCTGGGAAACAGACTCTGACTGAGATGGCATTTGAAGTCTACAAGCAGGAAGATGCATTATTGGTTTTGCTAAATGTAAAATGGAAGTGCAAGCCACCTTCAAGTCCTTGAAGACACAAGGCTTCTTTGTAGTCTTAAATTAACACTTCATTGCAAATTTCATCTGAAGGTATCTTGGGAGACCGTTGTGATGAATGGCATAGGTACAGGTCTTTTATGTCATTTATCTACGGTAACTAAATGCCTTTTGGTGATTGGGGGCATCAAGAATTTTCTGGTAGTGGCAACTGGTTGTTAAGATTTTTGAGACGCTAGTGTATGAGATTTTCATAAAAGGCTGCTATACTAAGCTTTGATAATTGTACAAAGAGATAGTCTAGGAAAAATACACTATTCTACAATGTTTCATACAATGTATTGGGCAGGAGGACAGCAAGGTTTTAATTCAAGCCATGACAGTTGTAGGTTTTTTTCTATGATGAAAAGCGGCATATCTCACATTTGGAGCGAAACTGCTTTTCTCTGCAATTCTCTTACGTGCTTTAGTGCTGTCATGAAGAGGCCATCCCTGGTGCTCAAAAGAAGACAAATGGGTGGTCTTTCCTTGTAACTAACCATGGAGGGCAGAGTTGCACTCTACTGGTTTTCTAACCTTCCCTCTGGTTCCCTAATACTATTTGTAGTCTGTAGCCCTCTGAAGCCAGAAGAGTACAGTGTCTTTTAGTCTTTCGTTCTGTTTCTTAATTTTTCCCCCCTCCCCTCTCATGGCACTTTTCTCTTGGTCTGTCTTCCTGCTAGGTCCCAGTGTCATCTTAATTGTTTAGCTTCTCTTCCTGTGCTAGTATTCTCTATCCCTTGCCAAATTCTTCCTTCAGGTGTTTTCTCCTCTTTTGTCTTCAACTATTTGGTCAATTTTCACTTTTCTGCTATTTTAGTAACATTTTCTGACCCCGTACCTAGAGCACCATGCTGGACCATATTCCAAGTACAGCATTCTTTACCAGGTACTGGAAAGACAGGAGAGCAAAACAGTAATGAAACCTGTTTCTAGTTCTGCCACAGAATTTCCTTGCAACCTGGAAGAAATTATATCATTTCTCTGGCCTTAGTTTGCGTCCCTTTCTGGCAGTAATGCTGCCAGCCTCCTTTGGGTTATTGTAACATGTCATTTGTGAAAGTTTGGAAAGCGGTTTTGATTCTGAGTGAACAAGCCTGTTGTGACACTTAAAATAATTTACTCTGGTTCACCACATCTCCCACTGAGCACTAGTGAAATTTTGGGCAGTTTTGGTTCAGTTCATTAGGTGATTGCTGCTTTATAAATGATTCCTTCCACCCTCCTCTCTGAGCACTTGGCTAGCTGTAGGAAGCCCTAGACTGTCCTTCCAGTCTCAGTCTAGCTTGCTTTGTTAAATACACCCCAAATCCCCAAAAGTGGGGTATCCCTGCAGGGCGTGCAAGAGAACATGTTTCTCCCAACCCGCAGCCTTGCTGTGTTCTGCCATTGTGCGGGCGGGCCTGCCTCCTCCTCCACGGGCACGGTGGTGCGGGGCTTGGCAGCTGCCCTCCCCAGACCATTTCAGGGCAAGTGTGACCGTGTGGTGTCCCTTCTTCCCATAGAATCAGCAGCAGCAGAATCAGCATCAGCAGCAGGCAGCAGCTCAGCAGCAGCCG